GAAAAGTTTTTTCTTTGAATGTTTAGTTTTATTTGAAAAAATAGATAAATCTTCACAATTTGAAAACGCATTGTAAAATGTGGGAAGACAGTCGAAATCTAAACATATGTATGATTTTTTTAAAAGCAAAATTTTTTTTTTAAATATTTTAATTTAGAAAACTATTTTGCGAATTTCAAAAATAAATGAACAATATTAAGACTTTTTTTTGTTGATATTATGGAAAACAACTTTCAAGTATGACATGAAAATAAAATAAAAAACGAATAAATAAAATAATGATGGATAAATTATCTTTTTAAACCCATAAGGGATAAACAGTGAATAAAATTTAAAAAATGGGATACTTAAATTTTTTTTAGTTTATACTAGAATATCATTTCTAAGAGCTTTTGATGTCCTTTAAGTAAAGCCGTCCTAAACGGGAAACTGATACGAATGGGTTAACATACTTTCACTACATTATTATACCCATTTTTCATTTAAAATTAAGAATTAAATATTATTTTTTTCTATTAGATCCTTTGAAGAAGATAATTGGAGACAAGTAGATAAAGTTCCTCTCATAAACAGTAAGGCATTGCAAAAATTAATTGATGAAAATCAGAAACATTACAAAATCCGGAGTTTCGTAGAATATAAAGGAAAAGATATCAATTGATCAAAGTGAAATTGAAGTATACATCTTACCTTAACATTTCATTTAAATTCAACTACAATTTTTATGCTGTACATATTTAATAAATATCAATAATATCTGAATTTGGTAAAAAATCATTGTATTTTATAATAAATTAATAAATTGTTTCCGTTTTAAAGTTTTGGTATTGTTTATTTTTCAATTATTTTTTTATATTACATAAGGTGCTTACATTTCGTTTTTTAAGCTTTGGACAAAAGCTAGGGTAACAGCTAAGCGTTAAAACTGCCAGAATATGGTGAAATTAAATTTACTGTGTTTCACCGAAGCGCTACGGTAATGACTTTGATATATATATGTACATATAGTTCATGCAAATGTGATAAAATTTGGCAAATTTTTCTTTATACTTTAATGTGTATCATAATAAGAAGTAGAATTTCGAAAACCAGAATTTCTGTTAAATCGTTACCATAGAAACGGAAAAATTGCCAAATGAATAGTTTAAATGCTTTATATTTTAATTCTATTAACTAAAAATATGTTGTTGTTTTTTGTCAGAAATGTTATTACCCTATATCACGGTAATTTCATCCGAATTTTTTGTTTTGTTCGTGCAAGGCTATGACGGCCTGTTATATCATTTTCTAATGTTTTTGACGGTAAAAGTGGCGACCTCTTAAAAATAAATATTTATTACCTTCATGCTTATTAATTGGAAGCTGCAGTTTTTTTAAAAATCTGTTTTCCATATAAAGGAAGAGTATAGTAGCATGGAAAACAAAACGAAAATTGCTAACTACAACATAACTGTCTATTAAGAAAATTATAAAGCGTAGAAATATTATTCAGTAGTTTTTAATTCTGAAGAATACCAAAAGTTTAAAAAAAAAAAAAAAAAAAAGGTTTGTGATAAAATTTTAAATTTCCTGAAAGAAACCAGAACTTATGACTTATGTACTGGGCCATATTTTTTACACAAATTTTTAATTTTCTAACTATTATACTTTAAATTTATAAATTTTAAACTTATATTATTATTATACTTTAAATGTTTGTTATACTTATGTATTATTATACTTTAAATATAAAATTATGTTTAAAGAGAAATTATGTATGTGTGTATGTATGTATGCATGCGAGTTAAACAGAAATAGATAAATAAATAGTAGTCTGCTTTATATATGAGAATAATGTTATAAGTGAAAGGAGTAAATAATAAAACGTACACACACACACTTGCGTATCCAAATTGAATTCTATCATGTAATAAATATTACTTTTAATAATGCTCCCCTTTTTTTTACTATTGATCTATAACTAGTATGAAATTCAAATTTATTTGTATTTTAAAATATTTTAGTTAGCATTGTACTTTTAATTAAATATTAGTTCTGCATTTTAAATTTTGCCCCGAAAAATTGAACTTGAAAAAAAATGGTAAGAAATTTTATGCTAGCAACAATAGAAAAATTATTTGTATTATATGATATATACTTTAAGAAATACGAAAATAGTATTAATTCCGAATTCCAATTAAATAAAAGCTAAAAACAGGATAAAAACAGAAAAAGTCAAAATACTATTTAATTTTTCAAGTATAATATTTTCCACTTTTTCTTTTAATGGCATATTTTTAATAAAATGTATAGATGATGAAGATACATATTTGATCGAATGAATCTTGCAAATTTGAGCTTTCATCAATTAAAGACAGTTAACTTTATTAATAGAAAGCAATTTAAATTACATCAATTATATACTGTATGAGTAATAAGTTATTTCGTAAATAACTTTCATAACAGAAGNATATATATATATATATATATATATTGTACTAAGAAAAGTTTTTTTCTTTGAATGTTTAGTTTTATTTGAAAAAATAGATAAATCTTCACAATTTGAAAACGCATTGAAAAATGTGGGAAGACAGTCGAAATCTAAACATATGTATGATTTTTTTTAAAAGCAAATTTTTTTTTTAAATATTTTAATTTAGAAAACTATTTTGTGAATTTCAGAAATAAATGAACAATATTAAGACTTTTTTGTTGTTGATATTATGGAAAACAACTTTCAAGTATGACATGAAAATAAAATAAAAAACGAATAAATAAAATAATGATGGATTAATTATCTCTTTAAACTCATAAGGGATAAGCAGTGAATAAAATTTAAAAAATGGGATACTTAAATTTTTTTTAGTTTATACTAGAATATCATTTCTAAGAGCTTTTGATGTCCTTTAAGTAAAGCCGTCCTAAACGGGAAACTGATACGAATGGGTTAACATACTTTCACTACATTATTATACCCATTTTTCATTTAAAATTAAGAATTAAATATTATTTTTTTCTATTAGATCCTTTGAAGAAGATAATTGGAGAGAAGTAGATAAAATTCCTCTCATAAACAGTAAGGCATTGCAAAAATTAATTGATGAAAATCAGAAACATTACAAAATCCGGAGTTTCGTAGAATATAAGGGAAAAGATATCAATTGATCAAAGTGGAATTGAAGTATACATCTTACCTTAACATTTCATTTAAATTCAACTGCAATTTTTATGCTGTACATATTTAATAAATATCAATAATATCTGAATTTGGTAAAAAATCATTGTATTTTATAATAAATTAATAAATTGTTTCTGTTTTTAAGTTTTGGTATTGTTTATTTTTCAATTATTTTTTTGTATTACATAAGGTGCTTACATTTCGTTTTTTAAGCTTTGGACAAAAGCTAGGGTAACAGCTAAGCGTTAAAACTACCGGAATATGGTGAAGTTAAATTTACTGTGTTTGTGGCTCTATGGGTACATCGAAGAGCTTCGGTAATGACTTTGATTATATATATGTATATATAGTTCATGAAAATGTGGTAAAATTTGGTAAATTTTTCTTTATATTTTAGAGAACGGCCTAAAAACTTCTTATTCACTAAAATTTACTTTTCAATTTTGTATTTTTATTAAATGTGCATAATAAGAAGTAGAATTTCGAAAGCCAGAATTTCTGTTAAATCCTTACCATAGGAACGGAAAAATTGCCAAATGAATAGTTTAAATGCCTTTTATTTTAATTCTATTAACTAAAAATATGTTTTTTTCTTCTTTTTCTTTTCAGAAATGTTTTTACTCTACATCACGGTAATTTCATCAGAATTTCTTTTTCTGTTCGTGCAAGGCTATGACTGCCTGTTATTTCATTTTCTAATGTTTTTGACGATAAAAGTGGCGACCTCTTAAAAATAAATATATATTACCTTGATGCTTATTAATTGGAAGCTGCAGTTTCTTCAAAATCTGTTTTCCAGAAAAAGGAAGAGTATAGTAGCATGGAAAACAAAACGAAAATTGCTAACCACAACATAACTGTCTATTAAGAAAATTATAAAGCGTAGAAATATTATTCAGTAGTTTTTAATTCGGAAAAATACTAAAAGTTTTAAAAAAAAGGGTTTGTGATAAAATTTTAAATGTCCTGAAGGAAACCAGAACGTATGACTTATGTACTGGGCCATATTTTTTACACGAATTTTTAATTTTCTAACTATTATACTTCAAATTTATATATTTTAAACTTATATAATTATTATACTTTAAATGTTTGTTATACTTATGTACTATTATACTTTAAACATAAAATTACTTTTAAAGAAAAAATATGTATGTGTGTATGTATGTATGTATGCATGCGAGTTAAACAGAAATAGATAAATAAATAGTAGTCTGCTTTATATACTAAAGTGAAAGGAGTAAATAATAAAACGTACACACACACACTTGCGTATCCAAATTGAATTCTATCATGTAATAAATATTACTTTTAATAATGCTCCCCTTTTTTTTACTATTGATCTATAACTAGTATGAAATTCAAATTTATTTGTATTTTAAAATATTTTAGTTAGCATTGTACTTTTAATTAAATATTAGTTCTGCATTTTAAATTTTGCCCCGAAAAATTGAACTTGAAAAAAAATGGTAAGAAATTTTATGCTAGCAACAATAGAAAAATTATTTGTATTATATGATATATACTTTAAGAAATCCGAAAATAGTATTAATTACGAATTCCAATTAAATAAAAGCTAAAAACAGGATAAAAACAGAAAAAGTCAAAATACTATTTAATTTTTCAAGTATAATATTTTCCACTTTTTCTTTTAATGGCATATTTTTAATAAAATGTATAGATGATGAAGATACATATTTGATCGAATGGATCTTGCAAATTTGAGCTTTCATCAATTAAAGACAGTTAACTTTATTAATAGAAAGCAATTTAAATTACATCAATTATATACTGTATGGGTAATAAGTTATTTCGTAAATAACTTTCATAACAGAAGTATGGAATGATATGAAATTAATTATCCACAAATGTTTTGTACCAAAATTATACATAAAAAAACTGAAACGGGGATATAAATTTATTATATTAAAGTAAAATGTAAAAACTTTAATATGAGATCAGAAAAAATTCTGAAACTCTTTACAGATGTAATACATCACCACATGCTTTGGCAAAGATTCTAGCATGGAATCAGACTTTTTTAATATTTCATAACTATCCACATTTTTTACTTTCAATTTTAACAAATTTCTATTGAAAAAATAATGACCAGAATTTTATATAAAATCGCTAAAAACTGCTAGTTTAAATGGACAGTGCATAGAACATATTCTAAATTATAATATTTTAAAAATAATATTATTTCAAAAATAAGAACAGAGTATATATACTTGCTAAAAAGTAAAACAGCGTTTTTTTCAGAAATGTCGCTGTTAACTAAATGTTTTTTTTAATTCTTCTCTATTCAAAATATCAATAGACATATTCATCAGAAAAAAAATTAAGCTTAAAATAGAAGCGAGAATATAACTAATTTACATCGCTGAACATAAATTTTTTATTTAGAATAATAAATAAATCGCTCAAGTTCGAGCGAAAAGCACTCAAGTTTTGCTTAAATAAATACCACTCAAGTTCGAGTGAACGAGAGCAAGAATTTTGCTCAAATATAGGTGTATAGTTAAAAAAACTTCACTCTTTTTTGAGCAGGGGAAGCCACTCTTCCAAAGAGAGTAATAAGCTGTTGTTGTGAATTCACAAAAGTTATAAAAATAAGAGTTAGATCGCTAACAAGTGAAATTTTCTTCCCTGAAAGCAACTTTTGATGATTTTTAAAGCTGTTACGCAAGAGAAAATGGAAAAAAAAAGTTACAGTTCGGATTTTTTACATTTGAGACAAAGCTATAATTTTAAATTAAATATATCATGAGTTTCACTCTTAAAAAATTTCATAAATGTACTTATTTTTTAATCAACTAACACGATCTAACCTTGTTTATCTGATTTTTTAGAAATTTATTGCTTATTGATTCGAAAATCTAACTTTCCATGATAATGGCACATATCGCTCATTTGGTGAAACAATGACGCAACTAAAAAATCAACCTAAATAGAGTAATTATCAGCTACGTCACTGCTTCACCAAATGAGCGATTTATACTTACATTGTAACCTGTAGGACCACATTGTGTACCCCCTAATAAGCCTATGATTATTTCTTCTAATGGGGACAATGACGTATCTGCAAAATTAACCTAAATAGAGTAATTATCAGTTACGCCACTGCTTCACCATATGAGTGATATATACTTACATTGTAGCCTGTAGGACCACATTGTGTACCCCCTAATAAGCCTATTATTATTTCTTCTAATGGGGACAATGACGTATCTGCAAAATTAACCTAAATAGAGTAATTATAAGTTACGCCACTGCTTCACCAAATGAGTGATATATACTTACATTGTAGCCTGTAGGACCACATTGTGTACCCCCTAATATGCCTATTATTATTTCTTCTAATGGGGACAATGACGTATCTGCAAAATCAATCTAAATAGAGTAATTATCAGTTACGTCATTGTTTCACGAAATGAGCGATATATAAAATCGATGCTTCAATTATTTCTAATTTTTTTCATTTAATTATTTTACAGCAATCAACATAAAAATAACTAACTCTGTACATCTTTTTACTCAAGTCACTGAATTATAAACCACTAATTTTTTTCATGAAGCTATTCATATCTCTACTTATTTTTTTGTTTTACTGTTATTTTTTGTCTTAACTCTTAAGTTTTATTTTCTTTTAAAAAAAAAAAAATCTTAATTTAACTTCGATCAAAATTCTAAGACATAAGAGTAAAATGAAAACTAAAGCAAATTTAGACACAACAGTACAAATTTTGTGTAAGCAAGAAAGCTTTATTTATAGATCCACATATATGCATAACTTTTATGTTTTTGTTGTTGTTTCTAATGTCACTTGCCACACGGGCAAACCTGCTTGGTGAAACCGAGCAAATTTAAGGCAGAGTGTGCGTTTCTTGTTTTTCAGTGGCGCCATCCTATGACCAAGAATTCGTTTTCAGGCACACACACGTCACAGCCCGTTTTATAGGGCGGACCCATTCATCCACAGATCGTAATTTTGACCTGAATCAGAGAACGATCGATCTCTAATCCAATACCCCCAGAGGTATCGATTTGTTATGGGAACATAACATGGAGGACTTTGGGACGAGATAGATTTAACGTGCAGCGACACCATTTACTACACGAGGAGTCTTCGACCGTCGGGGTTCGAACTCTCGGACGTGGGCCCAGCAGCCTACCGACCAGGCTATCCCGGCTTTTATGTCTTTGAACACTTAGAAGCATTAATCCGATTTTTTAATTTCGGTGTGACATCATTAATTAATAATTTTGCAGTAATTATGAAAAATTACGATATTTTCATTAAAATTCATTTTATTTATAACGGAAAATATTTGCTAACTTATAAAGGAAAAAAGGACATTTTAAATTAAAAAAACAAGTGGAAAAGTACTAATTGAGGAAATGAGGCTAACTACAGATTTTTTTTCCAGACTAATATCAGTCCCCAGAACTGAAGAGTAGCACTCTTGATTATCTGTACTATTTGCCTTTAATTATTATCTGAGCTTAAGTAGGGTATAATTTAAATAAGTTAAATATGTTAATAAGTTAAATATATCAAATAAGTTAAATATTTCAAATGTTTCACTTTAAAAAAACACAAACTTTTTTTTAAAAAGAAAAATCGCCAATTTGGAGAAACTTTTCTCCTTAGATAAAAATTATGAAAGTGAATGATTCAATTTTACTAAATTTTACTGCAGTAGCGGAATAATATTTTAGTATTAAAAAATTTGATTGCAATTGCCTATTGTTTTCACAAAACAGTTTTTTTTTTCTTCTCATGTTGGAGTTATGTGCCATTTACGGAATTAGTATGGAGAGAGCTGTTTGAGCATTGCCTAAGTAAAACATTAAATTTTGTTTATTTTCATTTTTGTTAAATAAAAAATAAATTAGCAAAAAAAAAAAAAACATTTGGAAAATTTGGAATAAAAGTTAAATTTTCAGAAAGAAAAAATGAGAAGAAAATTACTGCAATGAATTTCAAAATTTCACAAAACAAACTATTTATTAAAATTTTGTTGAAACAAAAAGTAAAAGTAGTAAAGGGAGGGTAAACAAATCACAAACCCCACCCCATGCCTATTTTTGCTGAAAAAGGGAGTCTAAAAGGGCCAAAACTTTTGTTCTGAATCATATGAATGGTCCCTTCTTCACAAAAAACATTCTTACAAATATTTGACTAAATGGTTCCTTTATAACAAAAAATCATTTATTCGTAATATTTGAATGGCCCCTTATTTGCATTAAAAAAATCGTTCTTTAGTATGACAACAGAACCTTCAAAAAACAGTTTTCGTCATTATAATTATGTAAACTTTTTATGGAAGAAAAAAAAAATTGAGTTTTTGTCTTCTTATGGAAACGTAGAAATTATTGAAACAGTAAGAAACTATTCACTCAAATAGAAATTTCCGAAATAGAATAGAATATCTGGAACTCAATAGAACTTACTGAAAATGGCTAAATTCACCTTATTGATACGTTCAAAGGCTTTCCTGATAATTCTTAAGGTCTTTTTGTATTGGCTGCAGCTAGTCCAGGAGCTACAGGGGGTCCTTTCTTGGTTGGGTCTCAATCTTCAACCATAAGGGTTGCCAGTATTACAGTGATATACCTTTATAGTTTAGCTTTATACACAGCACAGGCACGTATTTGTTTCTTGGTATAATTTTTGATTTATATTTGTTAAAAATGCTAAGCAGTCACCGCCATGCTGTAACTAATACTAAAAAACGATTTAATTACGAAGCAGCAGATAATGATACTCACAATCTCGGTAAGTAGATTAAATATTTTCTTTTATTTCATATTTTGTTATCGATATTTGTTCAGCATGCAGCCAAAAAATTTTTTGGGAGTTACATAATTAAAAAATAATAATTTTCCTTCTTAAAAAATATAAAAACTGAAAATTTTTACATGGCATTTTTTACTAAATTGGTTTGTGCAAGTGCATACTAATCTATTTCATCGTGCACTTTCAATAGATAAATAGCAGTATATCTCCATTTTCATATATGCATATTCATGTATAATAAGCAGGTTATTATGCATTTTAATCAAAACTTTTGGAATCGGATTATTTGCATGCATCATCTCGAAAAAGGGTTCATACATTTCAGGAACAACCTGAAAAACTGAGGGGATTAAAATTTAATCCAAAAAAAGCTCAACAGAAATAAAATTTACGTTAAATACTTTAATTTTTTTTAAAAGAATATTATGCAATTTTTTACTGGTCCCGATTTTCTAAAATTGTTAATTTTGTGAGCAGTCCTTTTCTGATGATTCAGTCTTCTTAGATTATAAAAAATATTTTTTTGAAGCTTTATAAAAATTATTTATTGTAGTATTTGTATATGTTTTTAAAAAACAATTATATGAATTTCGATTAATTCTTTTTATCTTTGTTTTCTTTTTCAAGTATTTTACTTGGTTTATAAAGTTTTGATTTAATTTGATTTTTGATTTTAATTTATGTCTGGGGGGAGATCAAAACTTCGTTTAAGACAAGCTGATAATATGTTGAAATAATATATGCATTTTGAATTGTAACTGATATTATTATATTTTGTTTTTATGCTCTTAAGATTTTATTGTTTTTTTTTTCATTCTGAAGTTTTCTAAAGTAATACGCTGCCTGACAAAATTTTTGAAATTAAGTTTATTATAAATTTAGAAGCGTCCTGTACTTTCTAATAATATTTTACTTTTGTATGTACTCGATTCACAGTTTATAATAGTTTTTCTGCAAGGTGATAACAGTGGTTTAAGTCTTTAAATGCGTTTATCTCGAAATCGGGTTTTTTTTCTCTCATTTTACACCCATTTTAAAACACGATCTATCTTGTTATTTTCAAAATAATCGTCTACAATTTTGCATGAGTGCTTAAGATTATAACACACATACATTTTTTTACGAAGACTAGAGCAGAAGTTTCTAAAAATTTACTTTTTTAACTTCATTGCTTCCCTAACTCAATCAGTAGTATATGCAATTTCTTATAAGATATTAGTTCAAAACATAATTGATAGCTTTCTAAATTTGATCTGCAAAAGATTTTTTTGGTGGGGGGAGGGTGATAGAATTTTTTTAATAGTTTATAGTCTACATAAAAAAATTGCTTTTATTTTACCTAAAAATAAACCATTAAAAATTTTTTTTTTTGTTGCTAGATTTATAAGTTTTTACACATAATAAAACAGATAAACTAGTTCTTTAAAATTTCATTAAGGATATTTTAAAAAACATAAAGATAAAAAAATTATTAAAAAAAAGCTGATATTTTTTTCTAATTATTTAAAAATAATTTAGCTAATGTGATACACAGACAAAAAGTAATAAGATGGAGTGTGAGTTTATTTTCTTTGGTATGCCCAGCATTGATTTTAAACTTATACATTTAATTGATAACCATAATCATCAATTCAGTTAGTATCTGACGCTTTTTGTTCAATAAAAGTATCAGAGCTCTGGTAACTTTTTTTTTATTCTTTCGTAGAAAACAAAAAGGGGTTGAAAGTTGAATTATTTTTATCGCTTATTTTTATGATTTATATAAAATATAAATCTTAGCAAATTTAAATGCTTCACATCTTTGAAGACGTTAAAGTGTTATTGTTACTTTAACATCACCAACTTAGGAAAACTAGCAAATGTTAAATTATCAAGTGTTAAATGAAAGCATGTAAAGCAATAAACATATATAGCAATAGGAAAGCATATAAAGTTTACATTTATACGCATAGTTATCTATTTATTGTTGTGACCGTCATTGAAATAGTTGTAAATTGCATTCCAGCTGCTAACAACATTTATGATTTAAGTAGTCTTTCATCTTGCACTAATGCTCAGCACAACACTCGTTTCAAGCAAAATGTGAATAATTTAGTTTTTTACGCCAAATTAATCTTGCATTAGTTAATTGCATTAGTTGATGGACACTTGCATTAGTTAATTAATAATTAAAATAATCAGTGACTTTAGTTCAGAGGAATTCAGGTATCGTGTACTCAGCAGTAGAAAACACATCACAAAAAGGGCATGAGGGACCCCAACAGCAAGCTCTTAGATTTCATTTCTTCTCTATAATTTTTTTTTTTGCAATGATAAACAATATAGCATACGGAATTGAAAATAAATCCTTAGAGATGGAACTATTTTGAAAGTTTTGAGAATTACATAATAGCAAACATTTATGTTCGTAGTCCAGGTGTAATCCAATTAATCAAATTATGGGACTACATATAAGCATTGCAGCTTTCAGTGCAGTACCTAAGTAAAATCCAGCATTGAAAGGGTGGAAATTACAAGACATTCATAAATAGCAAGACAACTTGAGTTATGATTTACAGCTGTCGAACTACAAATGCGGAATGAAGTTCAAAATATTCGACACTCATCAAAGCAGGTCGTATTGTTATTCAAAGCATTGATATTGATAGCAAGTAAAGAAATTTAGTTTTTCCTGTCTTGCCTTCATACGATGAATGGGAATGAAATATCCTCTGTCATTTATTTAGTAAGCAATGTAACACATTCTTGAAACTCTTATCAGTTATAAAATTGGGAACTAACAAATGAGGGTGGTCCCCACACAGCATTTGTAAAAGAAAAAGAATGAGGCAGGGCATTGAGCCATATGCATGATTTCAGAATTGTACTCAGTTGCCTATTTTTAGTTTTGTCGCTGATAAGAGTTTCAAAAATTCGTGTATGTGCAGTAACTCTTTATAAGAACTAATTCACGTGTTTCGAACATTGTTTTCCGAGTTCTTTTTTCAATAACGTATGAACTTCCGAGTCTGCTTGTGTGTGCTTTGTTTTAGCCTTCGGTTCTCCAATACTAAGAATCAAAAAAAATTGGCAGGCATTTTTATGCAGAGATTTTTAAAAAATGTGAAGAAAACTGCAGAACAATATTTATTGAAATTTATCATTTATATTTTTAAAAAATATCATGATGGGTTCTTTTTTTTTAAGGCGTTTTGGGTATTTTCCGCGAATTTACTTATCCGGTCCTCGTGTGTCACTCAATTCCGAGGACAATTGGGAGTTAACTGTGTTAGAATGTTGCACTGAAAAAAAAATCTGCTAAATTTACGAGGAAAAAAAAATATTAAGAGGAAAATAAATTTTCTATAAATTTTTTCTCACAAAATAATTCCTATGCAATTCTGTAATCAACAATTAAAAAGAAACATTTAATAGTTTTCAAATTTTTAAAAAGTATCACGATTTTTTACGTAATTAACGTTAAAGGAAATTTTTAGCTTTATGGAAAAATCATTTTTAATTTTAACTACGATAAGATTAGATTTTAAAAAAATCTAAAAACTGAGAAACGTGTGGTTTTGAATTATTTACTCGAAACCACAAATCGCATAATTTTATTGCTTTAAAGTTTTAAGGAAAAATTCATAGAAGATCCAAAAATTATCAGGAGCTATTTCTCCTAATATACTAAAGTAACCCTTTTAGTTTCTGCCTTTTTTTAAGGACATTGTGCTGTGTAATAATACATCATCAAAAGTTTGTCAAGTACAAAGAAATATCGTGAATGAATTGGGGCGACTAAACAAAACATTGACTAAATAACGTAACGAACAAAATATAAGAAATGTATAAATGGTGCTTAGCCTTATATGGATAAATAAATAATGTAAGGATTGCGTAATTTTTTTTCTTCCTTATTAAACAGATAAAAATTTATTTATTTATTTTTGCCTCATATTAGCGAAATCAACCCTAATTAAGAAAACATAACTTGGAGTTATTTCAATATTTTTTTTTCCTTGCGAATTTATTTGTTTTAGATTTATTTTTAAAACTTAAATCATAAAGCTTAAAAAATCTAGGTAGTTTACACTGCAATTTAAAATACCTCATAGAACAATTAAAAAAAATATTTAATGAGTGATCAGGTGGATACTATGCATGTTTATTTTTCTAATTTTTAACGTTTTTTTTTCATTACAAATTAAGAAACTTAAAATTGTACATTACACTAAATTTACTTTGTAATTAGTAAATATAATTAAAAATAGATAATAAAAATTCTGATCAAT